ATAGGAATATAGAAGTGCCCTAGAAGGGATCCTATTTGGGTGTTATGATACATAACCCTAAACATAACTATACTTGCCAACGGATATTCCCGACAGTAGGTGAGTACTAGTCGTCATCCTTGAAACCCAGCTTTTTCCTCGAGTTGTAGGGGTCATGCTTTGTTTTATGATGCAAGGTGCATTCCTTAATTAAGGATATTCAAGTTTCTGGGTACCATGTAAGTTCTCGGTATGTGATCTCGGGTTTCAGGGCTGGGTAACAGAATGGATCATTTTGGTTTTCGGTTTGTGGTTTGAGGTTTAAACGACGAAGAAGTGTAAGAAGTATTGACCGTTGCAGTGGTTCTGGTCTTGGTGCTGGTGCAAGTGGTAGTTGTGGTGGTAGTATACAGGGAACTCCAGAAAGTTGGAATATGGTTTCATGGTAGGATACCCTATAATTGACCATAGAAGGGTTAGGATAATCATATTCCAACTTTCTGGCTTTTACCTAAAAGTAGCAGTAGCTGTAGCAGCTGGCCATGAGCCTGGATGGACAGCGCAAGCTTCAGCAGACGCTCCTCTGTCTTTGCAACTGCTCGCTGCTTTCTTCTGGCTTGCACCGAGAAATGGGAGATTTATGCTTTACTATACTCTAGGACCTAGAGTAGGCCCTTATTCCCTTTTTGTAGGGTTCAGGTTCCCTTAGAAGCCCCGTTAAACCAGAAAGGGCATCCTTTTCATTCCTAGGTTGCTCTTGGGTCTAGTACTGTACTGTAATTTACTATATTATACTACAATATACTATACTTTACTATCGTATACAAAACTATAATAGACTATATTACAAGCATTGGAGATTAAGCTCCATTACGTTCCGACTCCAGGACGAAAACACCGATTGGCCAGACTGGCTGTGGGGGAACCGGGGTCCGGGAGGACTCCGACTGGCCAGGGTTTAGGGTTTAGGGTTTAGGGTTTAGGGGTTGATGATATAAATCCTGCATCACCCATAAGACTAAGGATAAGGAATATACTTTAATTCCCATAGTTTAGTGTCCTTAAAGTGATGCCGGATCTATATCATCAACCTAAACCCTAAACCCCTATAGACCCCTGAAAGGAACGCCTTCAAGGTACCCTTATAGATCACTTTAGAGGAACCCAGGGATTTATATCATCAACCGCAGTTCCAGTGGTGGTCCGCCGCACCACCAAGACGCACCGCGGTTCAGCCACGTCATCGACCCGACCGCGGCCGGCTTGGTGTCTGTAATATAGGGGCCTGAATAATTACCTAGGGATCCTTAAAGGGGTCTATAAGGAATCTATAATAGGGTTCTACAAGGGGGCCTAAATAATTAACAATACTATTCTTGGGGTTCCTGAATATAATTATAGTATAATGGGCCCCAAAACCCTATTCTAATTATTAAGGCCCTGACATTAATCGCCGGTGGTCTTCGTATCGAACCTGCTGACATCGACTTTAAGGACCGACATGGCAGGTAACTTGAGCCCTCCCTATACCCTAACCTTAAACCTTAAACCCCAAACCCTGAGCTACGCCCTAAGCCCGAAATCAAAAGGCAAGCCCAAACCCCAAGCCCTAAACCCCAGACCCTTATCCTTAAAATGAGCCGTAAGCCCTAAACCCTGCGGCCAAAAGCCCGAAATTGGTCTCGGTTGCAGTCGGCATCCCCCTCCCTCAGCCCAGAATGGCCATCTGAAAGCTAGTGATAGCAGACGGAAAAGAGGGTTTTTCGAAAAGCCCTAAACCCTAAGCTTAAAACCGACCACCAACCAAACTATATACCGTAAACTGAAAACCCATAAGCCCCAAACCCTCAACCATTAAGCCCTAAACGGAGGTCCTGGTGTTGGAGAATTTGGTCTTCGTCTGCAGTGCGAGTCCTTGGGCTGTCACTGCAAGCGCGGGCTGCTAGGCGGCAACTTTCTTTTAGGGTTTAAGGTGCAGTTGTTTTGGGTTTAGGGGTTTAGGGTTCAGGGTCTAGGGTTTACGGTTTAGGGTTTAGGGTTCTGGGTTTAGGTGGTTTTGGAGTTATGGGCAGAGAGAGGGTACAGGGTTTGTAACAAGGTCCTGTAGTTTAGAGTCTAGGGTTTGAGACCGCGTTTAAGGAAGGCTTTAAACACAGTGTTGACATGGCTTTTTTGAAATGCTATGTCAAAAGTTCCTTTTTGGCATCGATCCGTCGCAGCTTTAGGTTTCGCGGCTTCAGTGTTTAGGAAGCGAGCAGAAGCAACCCCAAACCCTGAACCCCAACGTCCGGAGCGAGGGCACTCCCCCAGGAGCAAGAAAGCCCAAACCCTAAGCCCCAATTCCCCACAACCGAGAATTCAGACCTAAAACCAAAGGGGAAAAGGAGGGACCCTTAATGGGGACCCCTACCCTATAATGGGTTATTCATGGGTATATAGTGGCTATATTAAGAGTACATACCTAGGGGTCCTTATTGAGGGTCCCTCCTTTTACCCTTGGATAAACTGAAACCGAAGGCTTGCTCCTTAGCTCCGTTGGTTCCAAAAGCAAGTGGAAAGCCTACTTAAAGGATCATGGGACTTAGTAACTAGGGTTATAAGTAAGGTAACTATACTTATAACACCAATTAAGGTACTTATAACCTTACTTACTAAGTCTCATGATCCTCCAAGCAGACTACACCCTAAAACCAAAGCCGCAAGCCCCAAAGCAGCAAGAAGAGTTCTTCCGAGGTGGTGAGCCGGTGTACACGTCCATCTACTGCGTGGCTCGCCTTTGATTCCTTAACTGTTGGCATCTGCATCGACTGTGGTGAGGTTAGGATAGTCGTTTATAGTTTGTTTCTTGAAGGGTGTATCAAGGGCCTTTTCGGGAACGATTGCGCAACCTCAGAACAACAGAGCCACTGGTTATTCAACCGCTATCTTGCCTTTTCCCCTCAACCCCGAAAACTCGTCGATTTTAAAGCCCTATCAAGATCCCATAAATCCTGAACCTTAACCCAAGAACACTATTGCCTCGAACACCAAGGTTGGCATTTAAATCATTCCTTCAATCTTGTCATGATACTTTGGCGGTTTAGGGTTTATGTAGGTTAAAAATCACAGAAACTTGAAGAATTTATTCGACACGACCTTCTTACGGAAATGTTGCCCGTATCAAGGGTGTGCCTTAGGATTTGGGTCCAGCAACACGCAACTGCTGCCCTCCTCCCCGACCCCCCAACCCCAAATGCGAAATCGAGAGCCAAGATTGCGTGAGAGTGGGTTCTAGAGCCTCGACGTTTAGATTATTATAGTACCCTTATGGATCCCTTATAGTAACCCTTGTAGACTCCCTTTAAAGGAACCCGAATAAATGCCCCCTTAAGGTTCCCTTAAACCCGCAACCCATAGAGGCCTTAAGCCCTACTTGGAGGGTCGGGGGACTTAGTAAGTAGGTGCTCCTTTAAAGGGGATTCTAAGGCTTCCTTTAAAGGGCTCTATAGGGTTTAGGGTTTAGGGTTCAGGGACTTAGTAAGTAGGTTATAATTAGACTTATCAGTGCCTTAAAAGGGACTCTAATAGGGGTTATGGTACTTATAAGTCTTTAAAATAACTACTTACTAAGTCCCGCGACCCTCCAAGTAGGCTCGGGTTCAGAGTCTTCGTGTGGTTTAGGGTTCTGGGGAGTTGCCGTGAGTGTTGTTTGAACCAAACCCCTAAACTGTAAAAGCCTTTTAAAACCCCAAACCAGAAAGCTTGCCCTAAAGCCTAATCCCCAACCCCAGCTTGCCCTAAAGCCTAGTCCCTAAACCCCAAAGCTTGCCCTAAAGCCTAAGCCCTAAACCCCAAAGCTTGCCCTAAAGCCTAGTCCCTAAACCCCAAAGCTTGCCCTAAAGCCTAAGCCCTAAACCCCAAAGCTTGCCCTAAAGCCTAGTCCCTAAACCCCAAAGCTTGCCCTAAAGCCTAAGCCCTAAACCCCAAAGCTTGCCCTAAAGCCTAGTCCCTAAACCCCAAAGCTTGCCCTAAAGCCCAAGCCCCAAACCCCAAAACTTGCCCTAAAGCCTAGTCCCTAAACCCCAAAGCTTGCCCTAAAGCCAATCCCTAAACCCCAAAGCTTGCCCTAAAGCCTAAGCCCCAAACCCCAAAGCTTGCCCTAAAGCCTTAAATCTTAACCCCAAGCCAGCATTGCAGCACCCTCGGGATAAAAAGTCTCTGCGCTGAGAACCTGCAAAAGAATGGTAACATAGGGGACGGAATGAGTGTTAGGCTTTAGGCTTTAGGGTTTCGGGTAATTGTGGATTTAATATCCCCTTGTGGTCCATATGTAATCAATATAGCTATACCAAAATAGACTCATAAGACCTTTTCTGACTGTTCAGGCCGCGGCAGTAATCAATATCTCGGGCTCAAGATCTTAATTGGAAAAGCAGAAATACACGCGGAGCAAAGCCGACGATAGCATGCGTCTTGATTTTCTTTTGCACCGGCAGGGCTGGTCGTGCGCTCCTTTGCCTGCTGCCCCTGATCTTTCCAGCTCGCAAGTAAGTGTCCCCAACCCCTTCAATTGACCCCTTATTTACTCTGTGCACTAAGCAGTATTAATCATTTAACCCTATGATTTGTTTTGTCAGGAGTGGCTTGTGAACGTCCCGATCTTGCCACCCGTCATGCATTCGTAAGCAAGCCTCATAGGAACCCTTAGGGGGTAGGGGGAGGGGGGTAGAGGCGTTCGCATTTGAGGCTTTTTGTGAGGTTTTTCCTCTGGCTTCCCAATCGAGCTGGATCCAATGGCCCAAGGATAGGGGATGCTTTGGTAAGGTAGCTTCTTGGGTTTGGCAATCAAAGGCTAGATGTACGTAAAAGGAAACCGCTTATGCCCCGGGCTTTCCTATTCAGATACTTCTGAAGCTTTTCTACGAAGACGCACGAAAATTCAAGTACGGAGTAGCTAGAGGTCAAAAAGGCACACCGCCCCACGACCTAAACCCTACACCCCAAACTCTATGGAAAGTAGTTTTTGACCAGCATCCTATGGCATGCGTGGATGGAACCCGGTCGAGTACGAGTTCAATGAGTTCAATTGCGGAGGCTTCTACCCACCCGTGAATACGGCCGTGATGTCGACCACGGTTCCTCATCATTTTTGGATGGAAATGGAAGAAAGCCATGATGCTCCTCCTTTGGATGATAGGGTGGGACTTCGCCACAACCATATACGAGGATCCGAACTCGGGCAGGGATTCGCATTCAGCCACATGCGTGGCTGCGCGTGGGGCCATGCATCTGGCCGCAGCCGTGAGCCCGAACCGTGGCAGGTTGGTGGCCAAGAAGCGAGACCGGCACGTGGAGTACCATAAAAGCCTCAATAACTAATTATAGTATTATAATGGGCCCGAAAACCCTATTCTAATTACTAAGGCCCCTACATTAGTTAAACTAAGATCACCATGAAGAAGCAATATTTGTTGCATTTAAGCTGTTTTTTCGGCCTCCCTCTGGGAGCTTGTAGGCATAGGGTCCACGTCTGCAGGGCTTGCAAGGCTGTAAGCAAGCATTGAAGGCGTCCGAGGTCCTTTCTCATCATAATGATTTTGTATCTTGTTTATGCTCATCTGGTGACCTTATAAACCCTCAGACAATGCTCCACCCGTAGCGACTTTGATGTGGCATGCACGATGGTTAGTTAGCAGGACCAGCGGATGCTGGTCGTACTTCCCTGAGCGGAGGATGAAGATTGTAACCGAGGTTAAGGTATCAGGTTGAGCCCAAAGGCTCCATGTACCATTATGGTAGATACTCAAGCCTTAAAGGGGTCCCTATGTAGGTACTTGAAGGCCTGAGTATATACTACAAGGGTACATGGAGCCTTAGGGGAGGCTGTCACGTGAACAAGAGTTCCCCAGTTTGGACCCGACCCTAAGCCCTGAATCACAGCCCCAAAACCGTAAAAGTTTAAACACCAAACTCCCAAACCTAAACGCGAAACTCCCAAACCTTGAGCCCTAAACCCTAAAGCCCGAAACCCTAAAACCCGAAACCACGCCTCTTCTTGGCTTCGGGCCCGCAAAGACCACAGTAGCCGCAGGATCTATTGGTCGATTGCGTCCCGTGATAGTTAATCTCCGCCCGAATATGTTGGCCTGAATAATGAGCAATGTTCTTCCTCGATTGAGGGGATGGCCCCTTCCCCCCGCCAAAAGCCAAAAGAACAAGCCCTAAGCCCTAAAGCCCTAAGCCCTAAACCCTAAACCCTAAAACCCCAAGCCCTAAGCCCTAAAGCCCTAAGCCCTAAACCCTAAAACCCCAAGCCCTAAGCCCTAAAGCCCTAAACCCTAAAACCCCAAGCCCCAAGCCCCAAAGCCCTAAAGCCCTAAAGCCCTAAAGCCCTAAAGCCCTAAAGCCCTAAACCCTAAAACCCCAAGCCCCAAGCCCTAAAGCCCTAAAGCCCTAAAGCCCTAAAGCCCTAAAGCCCTGAAACCCTAAGCCCTAAAACCCTAAGCCCAGCCCTAAACTCTAAAACCCTAAGCCCCAAAGCCCTAAGCCCTACACCCTAAAAACCCTAAACCCTGAACCCTAAAACCCTAAGCCCCTAAGCCCTAAACTCTAAAACCCGAAGCCCCTAAAACCTAGAACCCTAAACCCTAAGCCCTAAACCCTAAACCCTAAAGCTCAAAACCCCAAGCCCTAAGCCCTCAACCCTAAACCCTATAACCCTATAGATCCCTTTAAAGGAGCCCTACACTGAAGGTAAGCCCCAAGCCCCCCCCCACAAAAAAAAAAAAAAAAAACCCTAAGCCCTAAAAACAAAAATAATAAACCCTAAACCCTGAGGCTCCTGCACCCCCAAAGTCCCTTGTCGGAGGCTCGTCCTCGCCGGGAATTGTGCCTTGGATCGACCCTCCGGAGAGATCTCGCGGCCTCTGCTCGTGACGACGCTGGGCCGGCTCACGATTAGGGTTTAGGGTTTAGGGTTTGGGGTTTAGGGTTTAGGGTTTTAGTGAGGTGCTTGTTGTGTTGAAAGTCTCAGAATTTTGTGGGTTTAGGTGTCTGGGGGGTTACGGGTTGCAGGGTCCGGTGGTCTGGGGCCGGGTTTCGGGTATCTGGCGGAAGCTAGCGCATGACAGGGTTCCCTGAAGTGGTTCCTTAAAGGGATCTAAAAGGGTTTAAGGTTTGGGGTTTCGTCAGTCCAAACTTTATGGTATCCTTAAGGGAGGGGGGGTCCAAGGGGGGTATATAGCCTAGTGATCCCTAATTCTCCCTAGTACTCCCTAAGGTTCCCTTACAGTCCCCTAAGGATTCCTTATACCCTCCCCCCTTGAACCACCTCCATTAAGGATCCTATAAAAGCTGAACCCCTAAGGTCCGCCAGGGGGGCCACCTTACAAACCCAGCCCCCATAGGCGTATTTATGACTTGACTGTATTGACCTAAACCCGACACCCTAAACCTCAAACTCCAAACTTAAACCTTAAATAAGAAAGAAAGAAGAAAAAATAAAAGAAAAGTTTAACATATGTAAATCCTAAACTCCTAAACCCCAACCGAAATCCGAAACGAGAGCCTACTTAGATAGCCCAATACCCCTGGATTACGGCACATGGCTTAAAGCATCATATGAAGCCCTTGATTTAAGGTGCATTCCTCAATCAAGGGGTATTCCCTAAACCCTAAACCCTAAACCCTAAACCCTAAACCCTAAACCGTTATTGGGCTCTCTGGGTGCTTAAAGGCTCTTTTGGATCTGCTTATCCCCCCCCCCCCACAGCCTCTACCCTAAGGCCCCAAAGTAGTTCCTTTTGGGGTTCACATATAGAATCCTATAAGATAGTCCCAAAAAGGAACTACTTTGGGATCGCATTCGCCACATCCACTCTGACTAACCCCGCTTACGATGTCAACAGAGCTCCGAAACGTTTCCCGGAGGATCCACAGATAAGTCCATTATGCCCCGGAGGATCTACAGATAAGTCCATTATGCACTTCGGCCCCAAACGACCATTCTAATCATGGTTTCGTCGACCTATATACGAGCCCTCTTGGTTTGTAACACCCTTTAAACTCCAAAGTTTCAGCCTGAAGCCCAGGACGTCTAAGCTCTGAAACCAATGTAATTAGGATCGAACACCCTGACCCTGAACGCTGACACACAACATAGATCTCTATATAAACCCTAAACCCCTAACTGTAGAACCCGCACAGACTCCAGCTTAGAAACCTCAAACCTTCGAAAGGATGTGTAAGAACCTGGGTACTAAACGGTTTGGGGTTTAAGATGTGGGAACCTGAGTACTGAACTCGTTTCCCGCACGAACCTAGAGGGTCATACCCTACCCCTTTTTTTGGGTACCTAGTTTTATGGTTAGGATCTCCTATATAGAAAAGTAGGTACCTTAAAAAAGGGATAGGGTATGAGCCTATAGGAAGCTCTGCATGGATGCTCTTTTGACTTAGTGTTTGGGTTGGTAGGATGGGGTGGGTATGGGACCTGTCGTAGGGGTTGTGGTGGGTGCACAATAAACCCCGACCCTAAACCTAGGGCTAGGGCCTAAACCCACAAGCGCCTAAATTAAGATTTCCATGATGGATCCAGTGGCGAATGAACGTTTCGGCTTTAGGGTTTGCGGTTGGGGCTTTAGGGGCTTCCATAAACCCTAAACCAGGGTTTCAAGGCCGAAGGTTCATGTCTCGGGGTGTGGAGTGTAGAGTCTCGGGATCCCAGCCAAACCCCGAAGCCGTGCACAGCTCAAGGAACATCTACATCGTCTTCGCCTGGACCGGGGCTTTGAAACAAGAGCTGCGAAACTCCCCAGAAGCCCTAGCATCAGGAAGATGTTGGGTTTGGGGTAAAGGCTTTCTGGCTTTAGTAGGGTGTAGGGCCCAGGTCAGTCTTTCGAGTTTAGAATGGGTTTCGGGTTGGGGGTTTACTGTTTAGGGCCAGTTTGGGGTGCAGATAGAACTACCTGCAGCACAAATCCCAGGTGACACCTAGAAATTGCAAAACCTGAAACCTGAACTCTTACCCTCACTCACGCTCTAACTCTGAGCCCGAACACCGAATAGACAGTTTCAATGGCCTTCCCTGAAACCCTATGAACCCTAAACCCATCATCCCTCATCCATAAACCCTAAGCCCGTAAACCGTGAACCTTCAAGCCTCAGCCCAGAGAGCCCAATATCCCCTTAATTGAAGGAATATAGCTTAAAACATAAAATATGAAGCCCCTAATGATTTAAGCTATATTCTTTAATTAACGGGTATTGGGCACTCTGGGAAGTCCCTCACCCCTCAAACCCTGAACCCGAGGGTCGGGTTGAAGACGTTGCCCTGAGAGTTCGCACCAACATGTCAGGGTAACGAATGCATGTCCCTCACTATACCAGGGATCCGTAGGAAACGACCTTATTGAGGAGATAACGGTTCAGGGGTTCAGGATATTTAAGGCTTAGGGTTTGGGGTTGGGGAGTTTTTTGAGGGTTTAGGGTCTCAGGGTTACTGCTGCAGTGCCTGGGTTGAGGTTTCTGGAGGCAGCCTCCACAATCGCGCTCCTGCTGCCCTGAGCCCTAAACTCAGTCGCAAAGCCCGAGCCTAGACCCTGAACTCTTAAAATCCTGGACCCTGAGCCCTCAACCCCCCCACACTCCTAAATCCCTAAACCCTACATAAATCCTCCAGGACTGCCCACTTCATACCATCTCCCTTGTTGCGGTGGCTCCTCGTGGGGGTGACCTTCTTCATGTATGGCTGGGCGGGAGCCTGAGATGCCCATAAACCCTAGAACCCAAAGACCCTAAACCCTAAACCCCTGTAGATCCCTTAAAGGGCTGCCTTCCCATATTTGGCGGGCATTTTGACGGCGCTTTCAGGAGTTCTTTACATGGTCCTGCTACTATAAGGGTTCCCTTTCAAGGGGTCGATTAGGGTATGACACAAGGTACCATTAGTGTTAAGGGCTCTTAAAGGGTTTCTTGAATGGCTTCGAGTTTGGAGCTTAGGGTTTGGGGCTTATGTAGGGCTTAAGGTCTAGGTTGCTGGTTGGGGATTCATAAGGTTGATAAGCTTGAGGGTTTGTCCGGGTTGTTAGCTTTTAGCAAGCCGCCTAAATGAGGATCCAGGTACCGAAGAAGCATGCCCTACCTGAAATGCTTACCTACATTGCTACTATCCCAATCCCAACCATGCTATGCTTGGGTATCTGGGACACTTCGGACAGATGACTGCGGACCCAAAAAAAGCACCAAGACCCAACACTTTGAGCCCTCAACCTGGGCCGACCCGGTTTGGGGTTTAGGGTTTAATTGCAGACTTCAGTTTGTCAAATGTGGGGGAGCTCATAGTTATGTAAGGCATTCTACACAG